ACCAGGACAATGTCACGATCTAGATCTCAAGCCATAGAAGACGAAGAGACGGAAATTGAGACAGGAGTGAGGGGACGGCCCATCAGGGTTTTACATCGGACTACGAAGCCGAACGGTATGAACTCTCATCCAGCTTATAGTAATGTTGCCGAAAAGGAGAGACCTTTCGAACCAAGCGGTGATGGCACCGACGGCACTGAGACCAGCAGCGACCCCTCAGCCAATGCAAATCTCGCTGACATAGCCACCGCGCCCCAGCAAGAGAATCAAGAAAAGTTTGCCGCTGAAAGTCCAACATTCAATAGGGACATCACTTTTGCCGACGAGGTGCGCCGACAAAGCGTTTCCCCAGCGTCAATCAATTCAGAGCGCATTCCCGACCCAAAAAATACAGAACATCATATTGCTTTCCTCGAGCGTCAACGTAACCAGGATCAAGGAACTCTACGTATTCCAGGACCGCGAGACTTCGACCGTGGAGATGTGCCGCACCAGATTGACAGCGACGAAGAAGATGACGGAAGAGGGCGATTGCAAAGTCGAGGTGGGGATGAGAGGCAATCTGTGGAGGATAGACGTGATTCGGACTTGTCTGGTCATGAGCACATGAACGGAGATGACCAAACAGCCAGACGGGGCATTGCCTTCAGCGTTCCCGACCGTCCTGGCAAGCCGATACCGAACCGCAGTGAGGTGGATCAACCATCGCCACGCTTCAATCCTCTGAGACCGTTCAGCGCGTTTAAACGTACCCCGACGTCTACTTCCTTCTCCAAATCTCTTCGAAAGCTCAGAGATGGTCCACAGTCTCTAAGTCTGTCGAAAAGTCAGGAACGAGACATGGGAGAACTTATGCCGTATCTCAGTTGGCAGCCAACAATCGGACGTAATTCTGCCTTCATTGACCTCACTGAAGAGCAAAGGGAAGAGTTGGGCGGCATCGAATATCGGTCGCTCAAAACCTTGGCGCTCATCCTGGTGTTCTACTTTGTTGGCATCCATGTCCTTGGTGCCATCATATTCGTACCATGGATCAGACTGAGCAAAACATATGGACCCATCCCCGACAAATATGCACAGAATCGCGTATGGTGGGGAATTTTCACGTCCGCGTCTGCGTTCAATGATTTGGGCTTCACCCTCACCCCGGACAGCATGATCGAGTTCCAGACCGCTGTGGTGCCTATGCTCATAGGATCTTGGTTGATCATCATTGGTAACACTGGCTTTCCCTGCATGCTCAGATTTACCATTTGGGTGATGAACAAATGTGTACCCAGAGGATCTGCGTTGTGGGAAGAGTTGAGATTCTTGCTCGACCATCCTAGACGTTGTTTCACCCTGCTGTTCCCATCTAGGGCAACGTGGTGGCTATTCTGGCTGCTCGTGCTCCTGAACGGAATCGATCTACTCTTCTTCATCATCCTGGATTTGAACGATCCCACCGTCACGTCTCTATCCCCCGGAACAAGGGTTCTCGCCGGATGGTTTCAAGCTGCGTCGACCCGCACCGCAGGCTTTGGTTGTGTCAACTTGGCGAACCTCCACCCAGCCATCCAAGTCTCATACCTGGTCATGATGTATATATCCGTCTTTCCGATTGCTATCAGCGTCCGCCGGACCAATGTATATGAAGAAAAGTCGCTTGGTATATGGGCGGGCGATGAGGAAGATGATGAAGAAGGCGTTGGGAAGAGCTACGTTGGCATGCATTTGCGCCGACAGCTGTCCTTCGACTTGTGGTATATCTTTCTTGGCGTCTTTGTCATTGCTATCGTAGAAGGCAAAAGGATCCAGGGCGACACGGACGGCGTAAGTACTTGTCAAAGAGTCTCTCCCGCAATTCACTGATACACGCAGTCCTTCACGCTCTTCAACATACTGTTCGAGACGGTCTCGGCTTACGGCACTGTTGGACTCTCTTTGGGGTATCCGACAATCAACGCATCCTTCAGCGCCGAATTTGCCGTCCTGTCGAAGCTCGTTATTATCGCCATGATGATACGCGGTCGTCATCGCGGGTTGCCATATGCACTCGACCGAGCCATCATGTTGCCTTCGGAGAAACTTCACCGCAAAGAGACGGAAGAAGCTGCTGTGCGGGCAGGAAGGCGTGCGTCCATGGCTTTCAGCAAGGTTCCTACCGAGGAACGGATGCAGCCTCCGCTGGACGGCGGCACCTTGCAGAACACGATCAGCAATCAGGGCGCACCACCCGGCAGTCCCATGACAGCGGGCAATAACAGCCCAGTGCAATTCCGCAGAATGCACACCCGGCGTATGAGCGAGCTCAGCACGGCCAGTGGTCGGACTACTGCGACGACGAAAAACAAAAGACGAGGGCTGGGATCGCTCTTGACGTCGGGCTTGGGGGCTGGTCCCGGTCACAATCGGTCCTTCAAGGACGATTGAAAAATTCTTGGTGATTTAATCAAAAGATACTAATAGCATACAAGCGCGGATTGGCGTTTGGGGCGGCACCTGGATATACAGGATAGGTAGCTCGTCTAGGCGTAATTGATATTTCGTGCATTCGTTATGGCTTTCCCCCGAGGTGAAAGGTCGAGCACGGCTGCTGCTAGTCTATGCGCGCTCATTACGTGTCTCTATTGTCTGAGAAGAGCTCTGTATCCTCATCAACGGAACAGCCTCCGTCCGCCATTACGAGCCGCAGCGTTCTCCCGTCCTTCGAGACTCAGTCCCGTGAAGCCCACCACGCCACCCTCGCGATCAGCCTTGTACCTCCTCAGCGCCTCACGGAGGTGATCCGGCCCCAGGGGGCCGATATGGTTTTCATCGACGGCGACATGTCCCTCTCCCTCTCCATCCAGTCTCGCCGCAGTCCACTCCGACTGAACCCTCAGAGCCCGATCGACAATCTCGCCCGCAAACACCTTCGTGAACGCCGCGATGGCCGTGACGACCGTGCCCGGAACACTCTGGCTCAGCGTCTGGTTCGTCAAACGGCGCACCACGTCTTTCTTCAAGTGGATTCTATTCCACAGCTCGTACCGCTGGGCGTTGACGCCGGCCATGTCCTGGACTTTCCGGCGGGCGCGATCACGTAGCAGCGTCGCGAGAGCGTCGGGGTCGAGGTCCTGTACTGCTGCTGCCGCTGTAGATGGCGAGGGAGGCGTGCCGACTGCCGCGCTGCCGTCCGCACTCAGAGCGGCGAGAGCACCGAGGAACATCGCGCGCCGCTCTTTCTCTTCCTCCAGCCGCTCCCGCCCGATCTTGCCCCCGTCGAGGAGATCCGCTACATCGTCGTCGTCGTCTTCGCCGCTGGCGTTCGCGCCGCCTGCCCCGTCGTCGTCCGCCTCAGCACCGCCAGCTCCGCCGCGCCGCCCTGTTTCGCCGGATACTGCGCTCATCGTGTCGCCGCGTGGACGTCCGCCCCAGCCCCTGCCTCGTCCTCGGCCACGACCGCGGCCACGGCCGCGGCGCACTGATATATCGGCCAGTGAAGTCGTCGGGCCGCCGGCTGTGCTCGTCACTGCTGAGGCGATGTCGTCGTCATCGTCGTCGTCCACGAGCGAGCCGGGAGAGAAGGCGTCTTGTGGCTCCGAGGGCGGGAAGGAGGTCTGGCGCAGCGGATGTGATGAGGCGCTTGCTATTGAGGGTTTGCGCCGCTTGGGCTGGGACTGTGGGAGGGAGAGCGCTGGCCGCTTCTTCGGAAGGGAGAGGGTGGTCTGGGGTGGGGAACCAGCGGGCGATGCCATGGTCTCTGCTGCGCTGGCGGATCGGTCGGAGGGAAGAAAGTGTTGTGAGCAAGGAATAAGAAGTGAAGCTCTGAAGAGATGGAGAGGGAGGCCCAAAAGAACGGGGGCAGGTTTACGCGGGGCAGAGTGTCCCACGAGCGTGTCACATCTTTAACCATTGACTTTGGCATGCAGCACTCGGCTAGCCAGTGGTCCGATCTTAGCTGCATGTGTGTGAGATATATACTGTCCCAATTAATAAATCGAACCCGATACCCTTGCTTCCCTGCCTCTGCTTTCTTTCCCGACCACAGCGTTACAACATGGTGGTCCCGCCGCTGGCCACTCCGACCGTCACGCATGGCAAGTTCTCCATCCTAGGCTCGGCTCGCATCAACGCCAGCGCAGAGACAATCTACAATACAATAGTCGACACATCAACCTGGCCTAAGTGGTCGACATTCGTACCAAAAGTAGACATCACATCTCAGCCCTCGGGCATCGATCCGGACTCAAAACTCCTCTTCGAAGGCACCTGCATGAAGCTCAGAGTGAACATGACGAGCACGAGCAAGTCCTCGGCGACAGAGCGCGTGACGCCCCTCTCGCCGCGACCGATAGTGGCAGATCCGCCCGGGACCAAGTACGAGGTCGGATGGCGGGCGGAAATGGCGCCGAGCTGGGTTCTGGCCGCGCATCGGATCAATGAGATAGTAACTACGGATGACCCGTTCACGTGCGAGTATCGGTCTTACGAGACGATGGCGGGCTTTGCTGCTTCGATCGTCAAGTTGGTGCATGGACAGCATCTTACTGATAGGTTTAATGATTGGACGAGGGATCTGAAGGAGTATTGCGAGAAGCTGGAGCGAGAAAGGGGAATGAAGATTGTTCCTGATCAGTGAGCACATCCACAGGAAGTATGACAGGACTTTCCATGTTTATAGTGAGGATGAAGACGGGGATTACTACGATTAGGTCGTCCCAGAGGCTTCCTGCAAAGCCCAGTAGATGATTCGAAAATTCGGCTAAATTGGGCAGTGGTCAATTGCGAGGACTGCTCTTCGGGGGTGCTGTAAATAGTTGTATGAAGCTGTGGCGTAAAATGACCCGTACCAGGATTTAGCATAGCATTATCACCTGACACCAGTAGCGCCGTCGTTCACACAATTGAAAGGAGTCTGTAAGTCTCAATCAAGCAAAATGAAGAGTTCGAGCTGAAAGGGAAAAAAAAAAGGAGACGAAAGTCTTTCAGTTTGTTGAGTGGTGACGGATGATGGTCAAAAAAACAACAAAAACAAATGCCTCCTGACAGAGTCGAACTGGCGACCTCGACATCAGCTATTCCAAAGGATACTAGTGTCGCGCTCTACCAACTGAGCTAAGAAGGCGATCGATGTGAAGCCACAACTTCGCAAGATATATATACTGCAATATATGAATTCTGATCAACGTTCATGGATCATTATGTGTTTTGGTCGTCCATTGGGCCTACAAATATTATTATTGAACATTCGAAGGTGGGTAGGGAAGCAAGATGGCTCCCAGCGCTCAAGATCCCCGCTCAAACAACAATGCAACTGCTGGTCCTGCAATTGCAGGCTTTCCCTCTGTTTGAGATCCGAGCATGAGCTTCTAACCTAGCCACTTCTTCTATATTCGACGCCAGTCCTGACAAGCCTGTCAGGTGCTTATGACTATGTGACAGTAGTAGAATCCGGTTGTATAAAATATTTCCGAGCCTTGAATGGGCATTTTCGACCTTGTCGAAAAGCGTGTGACAAGGTACCGCAGTAGCAATTGATTGACATGTGTTGTGGACGAATTCACCTCACTCCGCACTTGACGTCGCCTGACCACCATGATGATGATCACCACACTCTGCGCTCACCCACCCTCCCGATTGATGACGGGATCGACATCTGAACTAATTGCACACAGCGTCTGACCAATCGCTATAAGGGCAAGAAATTCCTTACGAAGTAGTCCCATTCGTTACTCACATGCGGGAGGCTCGGTCACATCAAAATCGATGGACATTTTCGACGACAGCTTTGCTGAGGAGCAAGATCTCAAGGATCCCCTCCGCGAGCTACGCAGTGATTTTCTCATACCCAAGCGAGGCCAGCTGAAGCGGACGACGTTGGAACTATGCGGTCAACCTATGAAGCCTGCAGATATATCGCCGAGTACATACCTGTGCGGCAACTCGCTCGGCCTGCAGCCAAAGTCGGTGGCAAAATACACGGCGGCATATCACGAGACATGGGCCACCAAGGGAGTGTACGGCCATTTCAAGGAGATTGAAGACTCTCCGCTGCCGCCATGGCTTCACGCCGACGACGACGTGACCGAGGACATGGGCAGAATAATTGGTGCACAAAAGGACGAGACGGCCGTGATGCTCACTCTGACCGCCAACATGCACTTGGCGCTGACCTCGTTCTACCGCCCGACAAAAGAACGGTATAAGATCATCATCGAGGCAAAGGCGTTTCCCAGTGACCACTACGCCGTCGAGTCACAGATTCGTCACCACGGACTCGACCCAGCAGAGGCACTGGTGCTCATCGATCCACCATCACCGACAACCCCGACCCTTGGTACCGCGCACATCCTCTCCATCATCGACAAGCATGCCTCCACGACAGCTGTCCTACACCTCCCAGCAATCCAGTACTACACCGGCGAATTCTTCGACATGCAGCGCATCACCGCCCACGCCCGCGCGGCCGGCATACTCGTAGGCTGGGACCTCGCGCACGCAGTGGGCAACGTCCCCCTCTCCCTGCACGACTGGGACATCGACTACGCCATCTGGTGCAATTACAAGTACATGAACTGCGGCCCCGGCTCCATCGGGGGCTTATTCGTGCACTCACGGCACTCGTCCTCGCCCTCCCTTCCCCGCCTGGCAGGTTGGTGGGGCAGCAGCAAGACCTCGCGCTTCGCCATGGCGAACAATTTCGAGCCCATCCCCGGCGCAGCAGGCTGGCAGCTGTCGAACCCGAGCATAGCCGATCTCACCGCCGTCCGCGCCTCGCTGGACGTCTTCAAACAGACCAGCATGGCGGCACTGCGGCAGAAAAGCCTGCAACTCACGGCCTACTTGCACCGGCTGCTGGACGTCCTGCGCAACAACGACGACGGAGCGTTTCAGGTCATCACCCCGTCCGACCCCGCGAGGAGAGGAGCGCAGTTGTCACTCCGTCTTGCGCCGGGATTGCTCGAGCCCGTCATGCTGGCGTTGGAGGAGGAGGGCGTCGTCGTCGATGAGCGTCGGCCCGATGTCATTCGTGTCGCGCCCGCGCCGCTGTATAATTCGTTCGCGGACTGTTTGCGGTTTGCGCGCGTGTTCGATAAGGCGTGTCGGGAGGCGAGGGAGGCGAGGCGTGTCGCTGAGGGTGCAGCGCTTATGGTCGAGGGAGGAAAGGATGCGAAGGGGTGGAGCGAGATCAAATAGTGGCTATGATGCATGCGAGACACATTGCGCGATATGGGAGGAAAAGGGCATTGCTTAGGGATATATATACTCTCTCTTCACAGCAGCGAACAACAACATTCGTCGCCACGTTCTCGGTTTCCTGATCTGAAGTGCGACGATCAGGAGTGGTGCTTACGGCGTGCGGTCTGAATCGCGCATTGCCAGTTGCTTTCCGTCCCGTGCAGTCTACGCAAGCTCTATCACAGCGTGCTGTCTACCTTCCTGATGACTCTTGCGCGTATGTAACCGGTTATGAATGACACATCATAGGTTGTACTCTGTCCAAATGTCAGCTACACAATGCAGCCGCAGTCAAAAGTCAATCACAACATACTCTTTGCAGCCTCGGCATCAAACAGCCAGATCCCGTTCGTCTGATCAGCATCCGCCGCGCCACCGTGTACGTGCTTGACGAGCGTCTCGAACGCAGCATTCTCCTTGACTCTCTTGAAGAAACGGCGGTCCCATTCGCGGCCCTCCTCTTTCTCCTTCCGACGCAGCGCCCGTTGTTGTTCTTCGATGACTGTCTTCTCCGCGCTCGTGGTGTTCATGTCGCCCTTGTCGATGGCTTGCGCCACCTTCGACCACGCGCGCCGGCTCTCCAGCGGATCCTGCTGATCTAGCGGCGCGACTGTCAATGCCGTCTTGGGCGTCTTCTTTGCCTCGTAGCTGTCAACCGTGTTCTTTTGCGCGTCTTTGATGTGGAACGTGTCGCTCCACTGGCCGTCCACATTGTATATTACATCCTTTTCCCTACCGGTCGGATACATTGCCGCGGTGAAGCTGTTCTTTTTCCCGCTGAGCCAGCCACGTCCGCTATAGTCGATCTTGCTAGTGAAGCCTGTGCTAGACACAATGTATGTCGACTTCTCAAGCTCGACGAATGGCGATCCGCTGATCAGACCCTCGATGTGTAATGCCGGAAGCGTAAACAGATAAGTCTCGTTGTACTTCTCCAGATGCAGCATGGCGTGACCGACTTGCTTGATATTGATCGTCCTGCCAAAGGATGCCTTCTGTGCGTTGTAGCCTTCCAGCCGCACGCCGTGCTGCTTATTCAAGATGCAGTAGGCGGTCACAGGAGGGTGATGCGACACCTGCTCGGAGATCAGCTGAGTAGTGCCCGCCTCGTCGTTCCAGTGGCCGAGGAACAGTTCACCGAGGAATGGGTTGAGGGGCTTCTTCTCGCTACCCAGCTTCTCGTTTCTGCTGCTGTACTGCTGCTTCAGGGTGCTGAGGAACCACTTGAGCACGAGCATGCTACGCTTCTTAGGATCGCTCTCGGCGGCAGGTGCAACGAGCAGCTTGGGCATCTCAGCCCAGTATGCAGAGAACTCGGTGAGAGAGGTGGTGGAGAGAATGAAAGCGGGGGCGGTCATGGTAGAGAGGTCGCCATTGAAGGTAGCGATGGACTGCGCATCAAGTCAGTGGAGCTGTAAAGCCAGTCATGGAGGTGCGCGTGCCTTTAGGAACGAAGACCAGCTGCCTTTTGCTTGCGGCGGCACAGCTGCGCCCTCCTTTTCAGACGCCATGTTTGCGGTGGCGGGGACGATGGAATTGGTCGTGGTTAGAAGAATCTCTGGAGACTCGAAATGTAGGGAGCGTGGCGGGAATTGTATGAGAGAGAGAGTATACAGTAGCAGTGGTGGTGATTCCGGCGTATTGTGGTGGGGGAAAATGCGGAGAGTGTAGTGGCGATGACTGCGTTATTGACGACGGGGACTGACGACGACGCAGTGATGTGGCAGTGGCAGAGACAGAGGCTCAGCAGCACGACAGGGTACGTCAGGCCACGTGAATTAACAGTAAATTGCCCCCCAAAACACCGAGACGAACAAAAAGGCATCAGACCACCTCGACACCGCTCGCTTCCTCCACAATCCACTAAGTGGTTGCCCCCACGGCCCGAGCCTGCGAAGCCCCCAAAATTCAACTAGTATTTGATATTCCCCGGCCAACCTTCTGCTACCACCCATCATCCTCTATCATACGGACCGTGTCGCGGTCTGGAAACCTTGCCCATCACCATCAAGGTGATACTCGACACGAGAGCAACCTTGGATCGTCCTTTGAAGGTGGCCCGGGCCTGGTCTTTTGGCATATTTCGCAGCGCGGTCTTTCGCGGTCTTTCTAAGACTCTCTCGAATTCTGCAGCGGTCCGACTGCTCTGCGTCCGACTGCTCTGCGTCCGACTGCTCTGCGTCCGACTGCTCTGCGTCCGACTGCTCTACGTCTTGGGGCGACTTTGCTTGGTCCAGCTTCGGACTTCTGACCCTCATCACCTTCGTTTTCCTTTCCTGACGCCCAGCCCGACGAGACAGCATCTCAAGCACATGACTACAAGGAGATCAACAAACAGACAGCGCTTGTGGACGAAAATGAAATCAGTATACTATATGGGAGGTATGTGTATTTGCCATTCTGATACTTGACAACGGAATCATTTGCCGTTTGGGTTGGGAGTTGTCCTGCTTGCCCAACAGTCACAATGCGTACTGGATGCAATTTCCAACCGTGAAGTCCTTCGTCGGGGGCTTATTTCATGGTTTGGATTCGAGGTGTCCAAGTCAGCAGTGGCTAACGTGGTGTGTTCTCTCAGAAAAGCAAACAAGTGGCCAAACCTGGACAGCACCGGGTTGTCTACCACGAAGTACTCCGTGCTGCCATCCTTGCTCCGTCGGGATGTTTTCTGCCAATCACACCAGTAGCCAATTGCACCGAGACCTGCGGTGTCAAGCCCAGTTGGTTGTACATGCGGAGCCTATATGAGAAGGCTCCGTTGGATGCAAACTGGCGAGACCAGGATCTGCGCCCGTTGCCGGTCCACCGTCAACCTTATGGACGCAGTGGCCGCCTTTTGAGCAGGACCAGATAAAATGACAGCTGGCTATTTTGATATCCAATATT